TGTTGGCATTTCAAGCCACACTCTTGTGATTTTCGATCTGCGTCCAGACCTCCACTTTTTCACCGCATTTTCTTGGTGTCTGCACTATTTATTATTATAGTTTCTGGTTCTCCTTTCTAGGTCTAATTTCTTCGTTTTGAGGAATTGAATCACATATGCTTTTATTGTTCGCCAGCTATCTGGGTTCGCTCTCATCTTTCCCACTACATTTTCGTGCTATTATCTCTTCTGTACTTTTTAGCCACCTATTACAGTAAAAGAAGGTGTGGTCTGTGTTGTCACAGTCTCATTCGCCATACATGCAGTCGGGTAGATTCACCTTTCCCATGCAGTTGACTCTAAAATCACATTCTGACATTGAGACCTACTTCAGCTTATTTGGGATCAGCTTTGGATATCTGCTATGTGACAATAGCAGATATTTGTGCTCAAAGCGTTAACAGAGGCCAGTTTCAATATATCTTACATGTGCTGGTAGATATTTTTTATTAAAAACCACATCAGTTATTACAAGTTATAACAATATTAAATGAAAACTGAACCTTATTATTCGTGATGCAGACTTGAGGTGACTGAAAACATATTGTACTTCATATTTGAAATCATTTAAGTTTTTTTTTTTAAAGGCATTTGCCAAGTTTGTGTTTTATAGATTCACTTTATTTTACTACATGGTTCGTTTAGATACATTTTGAAAGGTTATTTGCATCCCATAGTGCCTTTTCATTGTTACTCGTACTATAGCGATTTTGCACTATACTTAGAATTTTTATAAACACACCTACTAATGATTTTGTAAATTACATATATTTTATTGATGGTATTGAACGATATTTTGAAATTACAGAAAAAAGACGGAGTATCTTTTCTGTACTTTCAACCGTGTACAATACCCTTTTTGGAAATCTAATTGGTTTTAGTCCAAAAACCAAAACTGTCCACTGTCTTTGTTGGAGACAACTGAAGCCAATTACAGTGGCTGTTTCTATTAAAAAAGAATATAAAGCGGTATTTGTGTGCATTTACTTATAAACTCACCAGACTCTGATAATGTTTTTGCTTAAATTTCACTTTGAAAAATACTGTTGATTATTGGTTTTTATTAAAAACTATTTGCGCAAATAAAGAAATAATATTTTTTTTAGAATATTAATGGAATGATTGTTTTCTTAATAACTTCCACAAACTATTCAAAAATTTGTAATCTGTTGAGCAAAAAATTTTAGGGACTCTTTTTTTATTCTCAATAAGATATCCATTTCAGTGTTTAGCTTAACCTTAACCGACCCTTCTCAAACCATAGGCGATAACAAATAAAAAAAATATTATTTATTGAACTTAAAAATTTTAAAAAGCAAAAGCACAATTTTTAAGAAAATTTCTTTTTCACATAAATTATGACATAACCATCAATAAATTACAAAAAGATTTTTAGGCGAATTTGCGAATTATCGATGATACATAACCCAATGCCGAAAAGTATGCAGTGGTATAGTAAGAAAAAACTACTTTGAGCAGTGGAAAAACAAAGGGCTCTGCAGGAAAGTCCCTACTCTTAACAAGGGACTTTTTAAGTGCACGAAATATGATTTACGAGCTTAAATGCTGGCTGTCGTTACGATTTTATGATATCGCCCAACCCAGACAAGCGAGCGGTAAATAGCACAAAAACAGCAAACACTTTGTCTTTTGTTAATTCCACTTTCTCTCTTCAAACTACTTTGCACCCTTTGAGCAATCCACAAAAATTAAGCAGAGGTCTTAAAACTCCGCAGCAGTATGGCCAGTGATGCCAACTCATAATTTATGGTTAAGTAATCGATTTTCATGCGAACAACTTTGGCTGCCTTTATTTTTTCGCTTATTTTTTTTTTTTGGTTGCAAAACGTGCTTCTAAATTTGTTTAGTTCGAAGCTCACTCATTGCTGCATTTTGTGGCCATCTTCAGGGTTCCAAAACAAAAAAGAAAGACACCAAAAATTTTATTGGCAAAGTTAAACATGTACGCAATGAGGAAAAACTACGTGCGGCATATGTACTTTTTACCAGCTTGCATTTTTTTGTGCTAAACCATCAGGGACATTAGTAACATTTTGCCACTAAATCGGTCCATGGTTCCCATTTAAAATCTTCTACGAGTAGGTCTGCTAATATTTTTACTGCATGTGATTTATGTGGTATTTTTAAAAATGTTCGGTTTTTTTTTCGGTTATTTAATATGAGAGCATTAGCATATGTTAGAGTGTCTGATGTAAGTTAACTGTATTTATTTCCGTAGTACATAGATTAGTTTTCAAGAAATCAGGAATTTACTTTAATTTTAATTTATATGGCGTCAGACGACTGATATAGTAGTAATGCAATAATACAAAATTAAATAGTTAATGGCACAGTGTCCGAATTTATATATCTGAAAAAGCAGTTTTCTATTTATATAGTTTTTGTAACATTGGAAATTTAAAGAACTTTGTGCTGTTGTGTCCAAGACCACTTCAATAAAAATATTTAAAGTGTTAAACATGTCCTCTTAACTTAAATTCAACTCATTCTTATAAAACCTGTTTCTTTTCTTTTTTGTAGCTGTGAGCTCAATGAAACCCAACATGGATACAACAAATTGCATCCTAGTCCAAGATGTCAAATCACAACCACATGATTTACATGGCAACGCAAAAGCAAACAATGGTGGCAGTCAGTTACCGACAGCTTATCCCACAGAAGAATCGGTACAGACCAGCACATCAGATCATAGCGCAAATTTCGTTGGCAGCAATGGAGGCGGTGGTGGGGCACAGAATTCGGCACCCTCACTACAGTTGCAGCATCAGCAGCAACTGTTGTTGCAACAGCAACCGCATAGCATAAATCAACAAATAGCGGCTGGCATACCACAAGATGCCTCCCATCTGCAGGACCAGTCATATAGTGCGCAACATCAACAACAGCAACAGCAGCAGCTGCTGAAGTGGCCGCAGGTTGTCGAACTGAAAGAACTCAATGAGCTTTACCATGCTAACATTCCGGCTTACCAATTTTGGAATTTAGAATTTCGCAATAAACATCCTGCATTCATACGTTTTAACTTTACGCTACCGTGGGGCGCAAATTTTGCGGTCTATTCACGTCGTAATGTCGCTCCCTCCGTAACGCAATACGATTTCGTAGAGTTCATCAAAGGCGGTCGTTTGGATAGTCATTTGCGGCATAGACGTAGCGCAGTACACTGGCAAAATGGTAACGACCAAGGTAATGGAAGTGATACACAGAACTTTAAAGATTTCGCGGATATTGATGTTTTGGCTGCAGGTGGTGAATACACAAATATCGATGATTTGCAGCGTGCGTCTCACGAAACAACAAATGGTATTCGTTTTAACTACGGGCATCAATTTGATGATGACGATGATGATGACTCTTTCGAAGATTTCGGCTCGGATGAGTACAATGGTAATTTTCCACAAGAGATGGACATTGAAACACCTTTGGACACTGCTAAGTACTATGCACAACAGCATGCTAAACAACAAAATCAACATGTCTTGCAAAAGCGCTCTGCCATGGGTGCAACCGGACCAGATAGTATGGGCGGTTTGCCTGCTTTAGACATGGATACAATGATGGTTAATGTGTCATTGCTGCAGTATTTAGATACTGGTTTATGGTTTATTTCTGTGTACAATGATGAATTAGTTGCGCATTCGGTAACATTGATTGTTGAGGAAGCTGAGGGTGTGAGCACTACATGTCCAAACGATTGTTCAGGACGCGGCAGTTGTTATTTGGGAAAATGTGATTGTATAGATGGCTATCAGGGCGCCGATTGCTCCAAGAGTAAGTAAACATTTTTGGAAATATAAAAATTTAATTTTTTTGAGTACGGACAATTATTCTTCATATGCACAAGTATAGTTCATGTGACATGATCACTAAATTCACAAATCACTAAAATAATTGTTTGTTCTTCATATTTTACTCTATTGGGTAATTTTTCTTTCGCTAATAAGAATGCAAACTAAAAAAAATGTCAGCAAAATTTATTTTTTTTGGTATTAAAAATTAACACTCAATATATGTTGATTTTTGAATTACCATTAACATTACCATCCACTCAGTAATAGACCCCACTGGGGACAGGTCTGCATTTGGTGAGCATTAACGGAAATAATATTAAAATTTTTTTCGCTCATGGAACATACATCGAATGTATTAGCAAACTAAATCAAGTAAATCACTTCTTTATCGCATCTGTTAAAGGGTATAGGATTCTATCAAATATTCAAATTTATAAGTATGTGTCATTGAAGATCTATTTGGATTAGATAATGAAATTGGTATTAATTAAATGTGAAAATAAGCACTTTTCAAGATCATTAAATCAAAATGAAAATTTTTTTTTATAACATAAAATGTTATTGCTTCTTTCGGATATAAAGTTCGTTTTAGGACATTTGCTTTTCTCTGTTAAAATGACATTAAATTCTAAATAAACTTTCTGTATAAAAATGATCACTTCACAAAGGTTTTGTTTATTAAAATTGACTTGGAATATTGTTCAGTAATAAGTCTCGTAAAGCTGAAACGAAATAAAAACATTTCATTGAAAATATTTAACAACCCTGCTTTTATATTTAGTTTTGCAATTTAAAATCTTACTGAGAACAAACAAAACCTGTCATCGTCACCTGTTTTCATTCATTTTGCAATAACGACAACAGCAACACTTGCTGTTTGCTTTCGTTCTATTTTTTATTATTTTTTTTTGATTTGATGCAGAATTTTCCTTATTTTTTGTTTTTTTTTTTTGTGAAAAGCTTAGAATTCTTACAAACAAGCAAATAACATAAAATTTCTCTGCTTTCATTTACTTTCTTTTTGTTAACATCGATAACAGGCGTCTGTCCAGTGCTATGCTCCGCTCACGGCCACTACGGTGGTGGTGTTTGTCACTGTGAAGAGGGCTGGAAGGGTTCCGAATGTGATATACCTGTGGGCGAATGCGAGGTACCGAACTGTTCGAATCATGGACGTTGCATTGAAGGTGAATGCCACTGTGAACGTGGCTGGAAAGGACCTTTTTGTGATCAACGTAAGTGTGGACAAACACATCTGAACACAGTTTATACTGCTTCAATGTGTTTTTTATTTCTAATTTATTTACAAGAGTTGCCAAGTTGCTAAAAAAACATGTAAAGTAAAAATTTTAAATTGTTTGTTTGTTTGTTGTGTTGGCAGTGATGCTGACTGCTGTAAGGTAGAGTTTAGAGTTTGGTACTATATACTTACTTAGTTTCTGTGAAAGGAACTGCAAATACAAGAAATTGTGAAAAGTTTTTCTTCATAGTTGGTTTTTCGTAAACACTATGAGCAATATTAGTGGGTGTAGGCATGCCTTATGTGTGGATGCGACTTCAAAGTAATAACAACCAAACTGACACAAAAATATACAGAATGGATACTGGCATGGCACATATGTGGTTTCTTTGTTGTGTGGACCAGGCATAAGAAGTTTTTTTTAAAGGAGACTCCATGAACAATTTTCAAACATAATACAAACACTTAATAGGCACATTTATTTATTAATGTCGACGCTTTAGGTAACCATTATAAATATATAATTAATAATATTAACTAAATGAGTAAAGTGGAATTGTACTTTCAAATTAGAACTGTAAAAACTTTGCTTTGTCAATTTCTTTCTTTTAAAGTCTTTCCAAATATTCTTAACTTTAAAGTATTATTTTTCTTAACTTTTTGTATAAATAACAAACTATGAAATACGAAATACAATTTGTTATTTTAGAAGTTCAAAAATATATAGCTAGTATTTAGTAAAAAAATTGAGTTTTGAATAATTTTTATGTAATGGTTGTGTGTTTATAAAATGAGGTTCCATAGATATACATTCACATAATATGTATCAATTGCACACTTTCCTTACATAAATATTTGATGTGCTAATAATTAGAAAACCCCTTTACACTTACTTACAGTATCCTTGACGTAAATAATAATTAACTAAACATTAAAGTTTTCCACATTAAAACCACTTTGCTAGCTGCCACATTGCCACATAGCCACACCCCTTTATCAAGCATTACCATAAAAACAGAATAAATAAACAAATAAATAAAGTGGAGCAAGCAGAAATGAAAAAGGGAAAAATGATTCCCGCTGAAATTAGAAAAATTTATATGCTGAGCATTACCAGGGCAAAATGCTTATGCCAGCAGTGCTCCAATGATACGATGCTACAGTGCTACAGTGCTACCAACTGCAACTTAACTCGAATTCCATTTTAATGACCACTTTTGTACGTGTCTAACATACTAATCTCCTTTTGTTTTGTTATCTTTTTTCCGTTTCATTGTGTGCGTTGCTTTGACTTTTGCTGCTAATTCTTGCCATTTATATATCAAAATCCTACAAACGTCGGGCATGCAACGCAACCTTTATCATAAAAACATAAAAAACACACAGATGATTGCCTTGATCCATTGTGCTCGGGCCATGGCACATGTGTCGCTGGTCAGTGCTATTGTAAGGCCGGTTGGCAAGGTGAGGACTGCGGTACCATTGATCAGCAAGTGTATCAGTGCTTGCCCGGCTGTTCCGAGCACGGTACTTATGACTTAGAAACAGGACAATGTGTTTGTGAACGGCATTGGACAGGACCAGATTGCTCGCAAGGTAAGTCTGATTTTCAATTCTCCCTAAATGTAGTGCAAATAATTGAAAATTAAATATTTACGTAGTTTATGTGTGAGAAATTTCAATTAAAAATGTGTTACAATTTCCAATTACACTGCATCAATTTATTTGAAACGACGTGTTACATTTTTATGGGCAATAAATTAATTCAATTATGTGTAATAGTGCCAGCCAGGAAGGCGACAAAATAAAACGAAAGACATTTTAGTTTATGGATTTTATTTAACAATAAAAAATTGCTCAGAAACTCAACCGAATCCGTGCAGAGTTCGGTTCCCTGACTTATGCAATTTTAATTTCTCAATTTAGTTATGGAATTTTAGTTTAGGGTTCGGCCGGAGTGAGCTGGGTGGGAATATTACTTAAAAATTCTACCATTCCACCTACGGTAGAATGGTGCTCGAAGGGTTGGAGAGTGCAGTGTTCATAGGCAAAAACAATATTTTGTTTATGTGCTTAGAGATTTGTTTAAAATTCCGTATGCAAACAGGTTTACTTTGTTGTTTAAATAGTAAATCTGGAAAATATTTTTGAACATTTACACAGCACACAAATGCAAAGTACACAAATTACACACGTGCAAGGAAGTGCTCAGCAGTTTGTGTTAACTTCAACAGTAGTTCAGTGTGCAAATACACAGAATTTGTGCAAGTAAATATGGCAACGGCATTTGTTTGATGGATGAAATAAAGAAATTTGATTGATTTGCAAATTGTTTGCAGAGCAAGAAACAACAAACAGCAGGAAAACCGTAAACAATAACAACAATGAAAGTAATTTTATATAAAATTATGAAAATACACACTAAACTGGACTGCACAGTTGAATTAGTTAATAACACAGAATAGTAGCTTTGATGCAGGACTACTTAGCAGCATTTCACATTAATACATATACTTAGTATACAATCAAAGACATCGACTCAATATTGTATTGACATATTTTCTTCAACTTCAAAAAAACACCTCAACTGCAATAAATTATAGAATAAAATTATATTAAATTCATATTAGAACCTATGTTCATCCATAAATCACTGATGTGAAAAGAGGAGAGTGCCCTTAATACCAGTTAATAAGTTTGGTCTACACTTTTCAGTAAAACCTCTCCAATTGAACTCCATGTAAATAATTAGAAAACTGTTGATTACTCTAACTTTTGGGTTTATTTGACTTTTATAATGCTTCTCCGGGAGAGGGCTAAAATGCCATTGCTATAAGCTTTATGTATTTAATATAATTAATATAAATTTTCATGTAATACAGCAATTTAAAATGGATTAAAATAAAGCTAGAATAGCACTACTAATGCTTTTCTTGAATATAAAAAATTACAATTTTTTACAAATAGTTTTTTTTATAACGGTTTAGAAAAACCTTATTATAAAAAAAATACAATGATTTTGTAGTTAACTAATAAATAAAAACTATTCTTTCTAATTAGTTTAAACACTACATACGCGGATTAATATATTTTGAGTTCCAGATTTCAGATCGACTTGAACTTTTGAGTACCTTTCAAGAAACAATTTTCTATGAACCAAAGCTACAACTGGCTCTTATGCCTTACACTTTTGATCGACACCTAACACAACCGGCTACGTACACATAGCCGGGATTATATATATTATATGTGTACTCCCGCGAGTGTTCTGGACGGACTTCTTGACCCTATACTCAGAATAAACTGTTTATCTACTCTATTTATATTATTACGACTAAATTCGTAGATTGTTTTAGAGTTACTCTTCTGAATAGCACCCAAATCAACACAGTAGGTACATATAAAATTATAGGTTTTTTTTTTGGTAATTTTTTCATGTTCTAAGAACATGAGAAGTTTTTATATGAACATACTTCCCTGTTATGTGGGATATAAGTTAGTATATAAATTTTTAATTGCTGACACAAAAATTTTAATGATAAATTAGTAACTATTATAATCGGTTCATATAACCCACAAAAATATTTTTAACATCAATATTCTACATAAATTATAATGTTATTAATTCAAATCTATGTTTAAGCAAACTAAATTCTAAAGAGCACTTAATTTGATTAAAACTTAGCAACCATATGATCTAAAATCTCACACGAATATATTTTATTAAAATTTGAAGATGTATTTTTGAAGTGAATTACACTCGAAGACAATCTTTTAAATGTTATAATGCTCTATATTAGATATAATAATATATTCTATATTTTACATAGACACTTTGCGCAAAGCATTTAGTTCATCTTTTCAAAGAACAGAAATTGATGATAAATAATTTTTTTCATTAAACCTAGATCTATTTTATCCTTAACAGATATTCTCGTATATGAAATTATTTTGTAAATAATTTTCTAGCTAAAATTAAATTAACTAAATAATGCCAATATTGAGTTGCCTATTTAATTTTTTTAATTAAATTAATTTTAATTTTATCGAAAGTGTCAGATTTTTTCAAGATAACTATAGCAAAATAAAATCATTTTCAAATATATAAATAATAAAATATGAAAAATAAATAATACTTTAACTTATTTAACTATTAGGAGCTTTCCAAATCAAAGGCCATTAGGAAGTCATTAGCTAGGTCAGAATAACTATAGTTGTATGGAGAGGAATCAGAGAGATCTTCCTCTGGGATGGGATTTTGATCTAATTTAGATATTGGACAAGAAAGATAGTTAGATAGTGGACATGAAAAGGTTTATTGCTTATTGTTGTGAGCACATGAGCAGGTAGGCTTTAAGCAATTTTTATTCACTTTTGAATAAATTTTCATTTCTGAAAATCAATAATGTTCTAAGATATTTTATTTATAAGATTGTTAAAATATATTTAAAATCTTTCGTATTCGTTGTGCATACAAGCAGAAGAAATTTTTTCTTATGTGTTCAAATGAAATTAAATTAAATAAAATTTATAAATGAAGCAATTTGCATTTCACATCTGAAAAGTCTGTACGGGACTCAGGGCTCTGTGCACATGAATGCGTGCATGTACCGAGTGCGAGTGCGAGTGCGTGGGGCTGTTGTGCATCTGTGCACTTGTGCATTTGATTGGAATTTGATCAATCGATTACCGCATTACATGCAAATTGCTTCTGAGTTTCATATGCAAATAACTTTCAGTTGCTACAATTTATTTATTTTACTGTTTTACTATTTGCTGCACTCTAAACCATGTGTTTAGTTCCAAACGCAGAATGAAAACTTGCAAAATTCTGCATAAGCTTTAATATGTAGCTGTGAATACATAAATACATACATGCAAATATATTTAAATATATTAACATGAATAAATATCAGGTTGTTGTGTAATTCATGTCATTTAAAATAAATGAGTCAGTATTGCAAAGTTTTTGCTTAATATGTTTTATATAATTTAATTAAAATATTGTTTTAATGTTTAATTTTTTAAGAAAGAATTTGCTGCAATTAATGCAAATGAAAATACTTAAGTTTCATTAAATTTGCACAA